TCTGTCTACCAAGTCAAATGTTAATTTCATCCAGGAACACCCTCACAGAAACACACAGAATAATGCTTGACCTAATATCCAGGCACCCTGTGGCCTAGTCAAGTGGACACATAAAATTAACCACCACTGCTTTATTACATACAGTAAGATTCATGAATTTTAAGTGAGCAATTCAATGGGCTTTAACAAATGCACAAGGTAGTGTAACAACTACCACAAATGATGATACAAAACATTTTCATCAACTCAATGTTGTCTTGTGTCCCTTGCGCTCAATTCCTTGCCCCCAACCCCTGCCCCCTGGCAACCATTGATCTGCTTTCTATCACTATAGCTTTGCCTTTTCTAGAATTACATATAAGTGGAATCACACAGGATGTCGTCTTTTATACCTGGCCTTTTCACTTAGCAAAATGCATAATGATTTATCCATATTGTTGAGCATATCAGTAGTTCAGTCCTTTTAATTGCTGCATAGTGTTCCATTGTATGGATGCACCACAATTTGTTTATCCAGTTCACTCACTGAAGGACGATGGGTTGTTTCTCATTTTTGGCAATTATTAATAGAGCTGCTATAAACATCTGTGTATAGGTTTTTGTGACAACGTAAGTTTTCATTTCTCTAAGTACCCAGGAGTGGGATTGCTGGGTCATAGGGAGAGCATATGTTTACGTTTGTAAGAAGCTGCCAAATTGTTTTTCGCAGTGGCTGTATCATGTTGCATTCCCACCTGCAATGCATGAGAGTTCTAGTTGCTAAGTGTATTCCTAGTAAACAGTATTTCACAAGCAACCATGAAGGAAGTGTAAGAAGGAATAAAGGGAGAGAAATGCATAGAACACGGTTGCTCTGGAAACAAACTAAGCTACTTTAACTGAGAGAGCTTCAGAGTTTAGATACTTCACTAAGAAGGTAAAAAATGGTGATGAAGAGGCAATTATCACCTAAAATGTAATGAATATTTGCTGAAACAGAAGGAATTACAGGCTGTGAAAATGGCCTGTGGCAGAGAGAGTTAGAAGAAAAATAAACAAGCCTTATTCAGTAAACAAGCCAACAGTTAGGAAAAACAGACCTGATGACTGAAAATAGAGAAAAGTGTTCAATACAAGACATTTTCCCCCTTGTTTTTTTCTGTTACTCTAACTTCAGTGTGCCCTTGTTATTGAGGAGTAATTTATGTTTTTAATATTATCTGTAAATATACGTATAAGACATATCTACATGAGGGCATATAGCATAATGCAGTGTTTCTTAAACCTTAATATGCATAGGAATCACCTGGGGATCTTATAAAATGCAGCCTCTAATTCAGTATGTCTGGGGCAGGGCCTGAGCTTCTGCATTTCTAATGAGGTTCTAAGTGAGGACAATACTATGAGGCTGCAGACTGCAGGCTCGTGGTTATGAGTGCAGACGCGGGAGCCAGACTACACAGGTTCAAATCCTACCTCTATCACTTATAGCTGTGAAAACAGGGCACATTTCTTAGCCTCTCTACCTCAGTTTTCTCATCTGTAAAATGGAAATGCTAGCAGTACACACTACCTCACAGGGGTGTTTTGAGGATTACATGAGTTACTCTACATCAAGCACTTAGACCAGTGCTAGGCACATAATAGGTGCCTTATCATATTCCTTTAGGTTTCAGTAGGTTCCAGTGGCCAAGGCAGCAATCTAACAGCTTTAAACCATGTTGACTGGGTCCTACACAGTGCTTTAGTTCCTCCTAGGTCCTGTGCCATACTTCTGGTGGCAGCCACTAATTCTACTTGTGGTGCTCATTAAGGAGCCCATTCAGAGCCACTACACTGAGACTGTCTCAGAAAAAGAAAACCCACTGAAAGGATTTCAAAGAGAGAGAGATTGACCATTCAGTGTGCTTTACCTGGTGGAAATGTCGCCAGGTTCAGCCCCATGGGGCGACTGGGGCCTCCACACAATAGATATTTCTACATGCAGGACTATTGCTGGGACACTGCTCAGATAGTGCATTTGAAAGAATTTCCAGCCTAACCTGAGGGCCCAGCTGACAGCTAAGATTGCTGCACCCAGATGCCCTTCTCTCCAGGAGGACCAGGCAGTCATTCGGCCACACAAGCCAGTGAACAGACTCTTTACTGTTGTTTGCATCATGCCCCTTTAATCTGCCTCCAGCACCCCTGTAGACAGCCTAATTGGTCCTCTGGATCCAGCCCTCTTTGGCCTGTCAGCTCAGCTCTATGTTCATGGCCGGCTTTCATCTCCCTGCTTGCTTGGCATATTGCTCTATCCTCATAGTTTTCTGATGTTAAAACGCAGCTTGTAGAGCTTAGACGATCTTCACACCATTTCTGCCTCCCTGTTAGTAACTGTACTAGAAAAACAGCTGTTAATCTCAATTAGGTTTTGATTGCTAATTAGCAGCTACCTGTCAGGTAGCTGCTCTCTTCCTGGTCCTTTTAACTATTTCTCATGCAACTGGTACACCTGGTTTCCATGAGAACCATTTAGCTAGATACCTTCTCCATCAAAGCTGCCACCTCTTCTGTGGCTTTTATAATATCTTTCCAGTAAACTCTGAGGTTCTTTGTCTACTTTCCTGCTCCCTGGTTTTCTTAATTTCATCATTTAGCCAGTTTCCAATTTAAGCCACTCCATCTATAGCCAGTGTGTCTTGGAAAGGAAATCAGGGGATTAATAAGTCCGTTAATTGAAGTCAGGTTAAAAACCTGTGCTTTAAAATTTCATCTTTAGACTTCTGTTTTCCGGTTCTGCATGTAAGAAGCTTGGAAGTTACCTCTCCATCCTAACATGTAAAAAGTTGATCAAACTGAAAAACCAACAACTAGAAGATTTGATTCTCTCAAAATACTCTTTCTATCACTTCCATGGGCACAGGGGATCAGAGAAGAAATAGATACATAAGCTTCATGTTTTATCATGATTTACTTTTCCTTTGTGATTTCTTATCAATAATTTATGCTTAAAGAGGACTTCTCATTCTATATTTACCTCTACCATTTAATAGGTTAAAGGTCACCCATGGCAATTTATTTTAGAGTGGTAATTTAACTTTGTTTTTCCAAATGGTTAACCATCTGTCCCAGAACCATTTATTCAATAATGATTCTTTTTCTCACTGATTTGTGATACCACCTTTAATATACACTAAGTCTGCATCTGTACTGGGGTTGATTTCTGGGCCATCAAATCCATTACATTGATCTGTCTGCCAATTCTTTTGTTAGTAGCACACTACTTTAATTATTGAAGTTGTATTATCTGGTAGGGCAAGTTCTCTTTCATTAGTCTTTACTTTCCATATATTCTTGGCTATTTTGCCCTTTATATTTAAAATTACTTTATCACACTCCCCTCTCCCCATCTATCTTGTATTTCCAATGAGGATTTGATAAATCTATCAAGTATTTTCTGAAAGACTGGCATCGCTTTTCCAATGCAAAAACTTTATATTAATTTATTCAATACTTCTTTTACATATCTCAAACTTTTATAGTGTTCTGCAAATAGTCACATACTTTCCTAGGCATTTTATCTTTTTTGTTGAAATTATGAAATGGGACTTTTTCATTACAGTTTCTTATTCCTATTTTGAAAGAGATTTGGGGGTGGAGTAGGGGCAATATTTGCAAGAAGGCCCTTTTTGTAATAAGAGAATTCAATGTGAATTGAGAGTTTTGGCTCATGAATGTGGATGTTTATTTTGGATTTCAATATGTTTGAATTAATGGCAGTGCTTGGTGGTTCTTGACTCAAAACTCATAATAATATGCTCGCATTATGTTGAATTTTTACAATAAAACAAAAAGAATGTTAAAAATCTAATAACAGAAATGCAATTCAGAGTTAAGTTGCTCTTCAGTAGCCAGGGACAATGGAGTGCATCAAGCATACAATTAAGCAGATACCCTCTTTTTCATTTTATCCAAGGCCAGTTCACTTAGTGCCTGAGTGTTGCTAGAATATGTCAGCCCCTTAACAATATTTTTTAATTTAGTTGATATTCCCAAATGATCCTTCCAATTTTGAATGATGTTTTGCACATTGCTTTTAGTTTGCAAAGCAGAATGTATTCTTCAGGTTAATAAAATCTTATTCTGGTACTAAAACCCAGCTAGGCATGCTCTGAAGATACGTTAACATGAAAATGCTGCTTCTGGGGGACATATAAATTTGAAGAAAAGATTACTTTAGAAGAAAATCTTACTTAAAAAGTTAAACAGCCATAACTACAAAAAAGAAAGATAGAAAGGAAGAAAATCTCACAGTCTGAAGTATTCATCAAACCTAAAGTATTTCATCAGATCTAAGATACTACCAATTATAAAACACACAATTATTTTGTGTACTGCAAAGAAAGAAAAAGATTCTACCAGGTAACTTATGTCCTGCTGTAGATTATAAGACTCATCCCAGTTTTAGAGATTTTAAAATTGACGGGGGAAATGTACTTCTTAGAATCAATGATATACGTTAGAATGCTCTGAACTGTAATTAACAGAAAACTGATTGAGAAATATGTTGGCTCACATCCCTGGAAGCTGAGAGGAAGGGCAGCTTCAGGAAGGGGCTGATCCAGAAATTCAATATTGTCATTAAAGACCCACTATCCTATCACAGGATCAACTTCATTCTCTAAGGCTGGTTCCCCTTCTAGGTAAAAACATAGATGCCAGTAGCAAATGGGTTATAGAATTCCATGTTCACACTCAGTCAAAGGCAGAGGATTATTTCCAAATAATTAAAAAGAAATGTCCTAAACATCCCTAACCAACTTCTCGTAGTTCTCAGCAGTCCAACTGCAAACTGAGTAACCTACCTGAACAAACTAGTCTCTGAGCCGTGTTGTCCAATATGGTGATGACTCACTCTTATGGTTGCCTGCAGAGGCAGATGGACCCTGACCTAAAATTTGGTTCAGATGTTGAGAATGATGATGCCATATATACACACCGAGGGTACGGGAAGTTTCATAACTTACATTATTGAGGTCTCTGGGGAGAGCAAGGAAGTCCTGCAAAACAGGTTTGGGATGGCTTGAGAGCACAGGGATAGGAGGCTGGCCTGGTTTTTTATTGTAATCAGGGGTGGGGCCAGTGGGCCCATGGGAGAGTTCCTGGATGTGGTTTGAATCTCTCATCAGTGCCAAAAGAGGGAGCACCTAGGCTTTCTTCTCAGCTTGCATAGACCTGGGGTACAGGTGAAGAGAAGGATGAGGCTTAAAATCTGTCAGAAGTCAAACATCAAAAAATGGAGTGCGATTTCTTATTACACTCACTAAAGGAGATTGTCTACATTTAAATTAATTAAAATTAAATAAAATTAAAAATTCAATTCCTCGGTCACACTGGACACATTTCAAGTGCTCAGCAGCCACATGTGGCCAACTTATAGAATATTTCTACTATCCCAGAAAATACTCTTGGACAATGCTGGTCCCTAGAACAACGGTCAGCAGACTATAGCCCATGGGCCAAATTTCATCCAGTATCTGTTTTCGTAGAGCCTGCTAGCTAAAACTGTTTTTTACATTTTTAAATGGTTAAAAAATCAAAAGGAGAATGGTATTTCATGGTGTGAAAATTATATGAAATTAAAATTTTGGTGGCCACAAATAAAGTTTTCTTGGAACTCAGCCACATCCACTCATTTATGCATTGTCTGGGCTGCTCTCACACTACAGTGGCATGAGTAGTTGCAGCAGAAACTGTATGACCATAAAACCTAAAGTATTTACTACCTGGCCCTTTACAGGAAAGGTCTGCTGACCCCTGGTCTGCTGGGAACAGGATGACCCTATCAGGCTCACTCCTAGATGTGGTGGGGTCAGGTTCCCCTGAATCTCATTGGGTACATGGGGGCCTGGAGGATACCTGAACAAACTCAGAGTTCTGTTGGGAAAGAGAAAACAGAGTTGGATGCTGGGTAGGCAACCACCAATGCCCACTACATCTCATAGGAAACATAGACTAACATTTAACTTCTGTATGGAACTGATAGTCTCCAAAGTGGATCTCTACTCACTAAGCAAGTGGCATTTCTTACTATAACATTGCAGTCTTTCCACACTAAGACATAACACTTGAATTCTATTTTATGTTCACGATTTCATGCAAGACCCATGCTTTCTCAATCCTGACGTATAAATTTTATATTTATCCATTTTATTTCATTATTACTGCTAGCACACGTAAGATACTAAATTTCAAACCAATTCCTGTGGCACAACCTTCACCCTCACTTTTTCCCCTACCTCCTCCATCTCCCCTAAGCCTGCCTCCTGATTTTCTGTCAACTACTTACATTTTTTACTTTAAAAGATCCCTAAATAACTATGGTGAGATAATTTTTAAAAGTAATACCTAAGAATTTTTAACATTAGAAATTATTGATCTTTTAATCTGTAGAAATTTCATCACTACCCATTCATAAGTTCACTGAGTTCCCCGCCCCCCCAGAATAGGACACACATTCTAGAAAATGGACTAGAGCAGATTTAGTTGATGTTACAGGAAACATTGTTAAAACATCTTTTCATCTGTTTAGGATGCAGACCATGGTTCTGAATACACAGGGTATAATGTAAGCAAACTCTAGAATGAGAGAACAGGATCTCGTATCTAGAGAATTTGAGGTAAATTTAACTCTAAAATGTCCTAGGTTTTTTTTTTCCAGTGGGTTTATCAAAGTGGAATTTCACAATAATTTAAATGGATGAATATTCTTGTGAATGGTCAATAGGTTTGGAATGAGAAGCCTGGGCACTGACTTTGTAAATGTTATAACAGCACACTTTTTTCCATTGCTTGTATAGATAAAGTTTGAGGATTTTAAGAGAAGTGAATGGAAAAGGGAGAGTGGTTCAGTTAACTAAAAACAGAAGAGGTATGTCAGGTGAGAACATTTCATTTTGACTAGTTTCAGAAAACTGTTATGATATTGATGTTGTGGAAACCTAAAAAAAGTCCATTGTTGCTCTGATTGCTTATTGGTTGGAATGGAACAAATTGTGGATTTTAACATTTGTGTTGCCCCCAAAGCTATTCTCTTCTTAAAAACAAAAGATAAAAGTGTCTTTATTAAAGCATTTTTAACTTTTGCCACCGATGGAGTTAAAAAAAAAAAAAAAGGGACTTCCCTGGTGGCACAGTGGTTAAGACTCCGGACTCCCAAAGCAAGGGGCCCGGGTTTGATCCCTGGTCAGGGAACTAGATCCCACATGCATGCTGCAACTAAGATTTCACATGCCACAACTAGAGACCCCGCATGCTGCAACTAAGGAGCCTGCCTGTTGCAACTAAGCCCCAGTGCAACCAAATAAATAAATAAATAAATTTTTTTTTTTTAAAAAAAAGGTACACAGCCCCATTGAAACAGCTCACCACCTTACCCTCTGCCGACCAGGGTGGGAGGATAGCAGGTGCTTCTATGTCCCTGAATGCTGACGTGCATCACTGGATGGAGGGAGGGAGGGAGGGAGGGAGGGAGGGAGGCTGCTGAGGTCCCTGAGGAATGGGCTGTAGGAACCAAATGGGGCTGAATTTCAGGAGAGAGAGAAAACAGAGAGGAAGAGCAGGATTGTGTTTATGTCTGTTCAGCTTCCCTTGCTGCTTCTCAGAATATATCTTCAGGTGGTTAATAGGACAATAAGAGGCATGAGAGAGGAACTGTTTGCACAATGCACTCTAGTCATGTAGAGGCCACATACCACATCTGCCCACTACAATGTCCCTGAGGCCAGGCTGGGAAGATTGTTCCCTCACTGTTAAGGCCCACGTTTGCATCCTCAGTCAGCAGCTATGACAACTCAGTTATTCCCAAATCTTCAGCCTGCCTAGCACAATAGCAACGGAAGAGGTCCAGGTGGGCTTTGTTCTACCCCATTCTACCTGAACGGCTTTTATTTGGGGGATGGAGGCAAGGAGTAAGGGCTGTAGATACTACGTGTCATCAGAGCATATAATGTTAATACTTTCCTTACCTCGCACATCTGCTTCTCCAGTCTGCACATGCTTCTTTCTGTATATCCTTTGAAGCTCTTTGAAGACAAAGAAGTTCTCTATCCTTTATCCAGAAAAGTTCCACACGCAAAGTGGTCCTTTCAAGCGAGCTTTTAATCACACCAGAAACAGGTTTGCCCTGTAGTTTCCTGTATGTGGCTGGCATACTGCAGGCCATGCTGTTCTCCAGTTGAACGTATTATTTCCCAACACCTGAAGATTATGTGTCTAGATACCTTAGAATAGAAGAGATGTGCTGATAACCATATTAAAATCATAAAATACCATTATGTTTTTCAAGGTAGAGTCAGGTTTAGTTAATCAGAATTGGTTCACAAGATTCCATTTGTTTCTGTGTTTAAAATAGTGTCAGGTTGACAAGTCTTTTGTTCCCACACTATCACATTGGCTTCTATTCTAATCTGCGTGATACCCAGACAATACAGATAAGCTAAACATGGTTTAATCAATTCTGACTCTTCTGATCTGACTGATATTTTTGCATGGATTTTGATTAATCAGAAATGTATAGAATATTCATGCCTCATCCCACAGTTATGACAGTGCAGACTTGGCTTTTCATATGTTCAGAATGATGCCACAATTCGAAGTGTCCCTTTCATCTGACATACTACTAATTGAATGATTTCTTTTCTTTTTTGAAATAATAGAACAGCCTGTTGGCTTTGTACTTTTGATATGGGGAATGTGGTTTAGAAAAGCTTCTGTGAAGTGTTACCAAGGGTAAATAAATTTGTAATGAGGTAATTCACATACTCTCTCAACACAAGAGAATTTCTAAGGGCTTTATTGACTTGATGAGGAGAATAATGGAAAAATATCCGAAATGAACTCTGTAGAAAATACCAGAAGATTCAAATAAACATAGAAGGTGGATATCATTTTACCTTTAAGGGGAGTACACTTTTTCTGTTCTCCATCAGGACCTTTAATTCCAAATCCCTGAAAACACTGCCAAAAGAAACGTAGAGGAATGAGTGGAGAGAATAGGATCTGGTCTCCAACACAGGGCAGATTTCTGGCGTCTTATCAAAAGCAAACAGATACTTTCTAGTCCATCTGGAGAAAGCAAAAGGCTAGAAATAGCATCATTCTCATCCCTACAGAAACAATAGCAACAACATCAACACGCACACAAAAACTAGACAAACAGCAAATTCACAACAACGTCAATTTACCCTGTCAGAGAGCTAAGGAATCAAGATGCCTACAAAGAGATGAGGTGAAACATTTTCTTACCTGGGACAAATGCAGCTGGACACTGGTAGAAGAACTTAACTAAAATTGTTAACAAATTGGTGAAGACTGAGTATAGGTTAGCAAAGGCTGAGTGTAAGTAAGTAATGCAGAGAATATAGAACTGCCAGTGGCTTTAGATGTTCACTCACTTGCACTCTCTTTTTCATTGACTTTAGCGGGTGCTCAAAAATAAATAAATGGGACCTAATCAAACTTAAAAGCTTTTGCACAGCAAAGGAAACCATAACAAAACAAAAAGACAACACTTAGAATGGGAGAAAATATTTGCAAATGAAGCAACTGACAAGGGACTAATTTCCCAAATATACAAACAGCTCATGCAGCTCAATATCAAAACAACAAACAACCCAATCAAAAAATGGATGGAAGACCTAAATAGACATTTCTCTAAAGAAGACATACAGATGGTCAACAAACACATGAGAAAAAGATGTTCAACATCACGAATTATTAGAGAAATGCAAATCAAAACTACAATGAGGGCTTCCCTGGTGGCGCAGTGGTTGAGAGTCTGCCTGCCGATGCAGGGGACGTGGGTTCATGACCCGGTCCGGGAAGATCCCACATGCCGCGGAGCGGCTGGGCCTGTGAGCCGTGGCCGCTGAGCCTGCGCGTCCGGAGCCTGTGCTCCACAGAGGGAGAGGCCACAACAGTGAGAGGGCCGCGTACCACAAAAAAAAAAAAAAAAAAAAAACTACAATGAGGTATCACCTCACACCAGTTAGAATGGCCATCATCAAAAAATCTACAAACAATAAATGCTGGAGAGTGTGTGGAGAAAAGGGAACCCTCTTGCAGTGTTGGTGAGAATGTAAATTGGTACACACACACACACACACACACACACACACATACTCCTAGGCATGTCATATCCAAACTGCTCAAAATCAGAGAGGGGATAAAGAAAGCAATCTTAAAGGCAGCAAGAGAAAAACCAGTTTGCATACAAAGATAAGAATGACAACAGACTTCTTGTCAGAAACTGTAGAAACCAAAAGACAAGGGAGTGACAATAGCACTGAAAGGGAAAAAAAAAAAAAACCCTTTCAACTCAGAATTCCACCCCTGGAAAAATATCTTTTAAAAATGAAGAAGAAATAAAGAGTTTATCAGACAAACAAAAACACAGTATTTATTGCCATCATATCTATCCTGCCAGAAATGTTTTTAAAATGTCTTCAGGCAGAAGGAATATGGTAATAGACAAAATCTTGGGTCTACACAAAATTAAGAACTATGGTATGATGTATTTTCTTACGTTTAACTAAAAGGTAACAGAGTAACTAAAGGAAAAAATAATTATTTGATTCTCAAAATGAATGCAAAATTTTCTTGACAAAATTCAACATCCATCCATGATTAAAACCTCTCAGCAAACTAGGAATAGAGGGAAACTGTCTTAAGATAAAGCGCATCTTCTAGGAGCCTACAGCTTACGTCATATATGAAGACTGAACACTTTCCCCCTAATATTGGGAACAAGGCGAAAATTTCTTTTCCAACCATTCCTATCCAACATTGTACTAGAAGTCCTAGCCAGGACAGTAAGGCAATAAAAAGAAATAAAAGGCATACAGATTGGAAAAGAAGAGATAAAATTCTCTATCACAGATGACATAATTGCCTATATGGACACTACAAAAGAGGTCCTAGGACTGATAACTCAGTTCGGCAAGGCTGCAAGGTACATGGTCAATATGCAAAAATTAATTATATTTTTATGTGTAAGTAATAAAACAGAATTTGAACTTAAAAAATAACAATATCATTATTGTTAAATAAAAAATAACATATCAAATGTTATTTTTTATATCAGTATCACTAAGTGCAGGATCTATATCTTGAAAACTACAAAACACTTATGAGAGAAATCAAAGAAACCTAAAGAAATGGAGAGATATTCTGTATTCATGGATTGTGTCAATATTGTTAACATGTCAATTCTCCCCAAACTGATCTAGAGATTCAAAGAAATAACAGTGAAAATCCCAGAAAGATGTTGTATTAATATTGATAAGTTGTTTGAAATATTTATATGAAAGAAGAAAGGAACTAGACTAGCCAAACAATTTTGGAAAGGAAGAAAGTTGCAGGACTCTCCCTAGCTGATCTCAAGGCTTACTATAAGCTATAGTAATCAAGACAGTGAATACTGGCAAAAGGATAAAAACATATATCAATGGAACAGATAAAGATTCCAGAAGTAGACTCACACATATGTGACAACTGTTTTTTGGCAAAGGTACAAAGACAATTCAGGAGGAAATGATAGTCTTTTTCAATAAATGATGCTGGATGTCTCTACACAAAAAAATTTCACCTTAATCCTTACCTTTTACAAAACAACTCAAAGTGGATCATAGACTTAGAGATAAAATGTAAATCTACAGAATTCAAGCTCCAAGAAGTCAAGGATATCCAATCTATGTCAAATTACACTTAGTGAGTAATGGCTAGATTATGCAAAATTATAAGTTCCTCCTCTACTGTGGGATTCTTAACATCTCTAAGCCTCCTCTGAGCACCTACTCACAATGTGAAGTCCAAATGCAGAAGTTGGCACACAGTGGGCCCCCAGAAAACGTGAGTCCCCATGACAGTGTCTAACATTCCTTTTTATTGTCCATCTTCTTCTCTAAGTCTGTGTGGCTCTACTTTGCTATCAAGTTCTCATTCTACTCACTATAAGAAAAGGTAAATCAAAACAGACCTAAAAAACGTTGCTTTCCTCAGTTGGCTCTTGCTTCTGTCCAATTTGTCCTTCTTTTGGGACCTCTTTGTGTCAGTCTCTGGCTGATCAGTGTTCATACCACGTCCTGATTTAGTATAACCTGCAATTTTCATGAACGTGAAAAGACATTCACTCCCTCATCCAAATTAATGATGAAGGCGTTAAATAAGACCATCCCCGACAGCCATTTCTGCACCTTCCTACAACCAGATACTCCGCAATTTATCAATAACCTTTCTTTGTGATCTTGTAGCTAATTTTGGAAATAAAATTCCCTGAGACATATCAAATCTTTACCAACATAAGATATATTACATCTCTTCTGTTTCCCCTTCATCTATTCATAACTCTGTCAAAAAAAGCTATTGTGCTGGCACGATTTGTTTCTTTGAAGCCTAAGCCACTTATTGTTCCTGATAGCATCACTTTCCTGCTTCTTAAACACACACATGGACACACACACACACACACACACACACACACACACACAATTATTATGGCTGGAAATGTTTACAGGGCGATAATTGCCAGTATCTCTCACTTCTTTCTCACTTTGAAGAACAGGCTATGTTTCCTATTCCCATCAGTCCAACCATCTTGTAATTTTCCTGATTCCACACCAAGTGCTCAGCCTGATTTTCTGTGATTACTCTGTGAATCTTATCAGGAGGCGCATCCTCTGAATCTCGAGCTATGTCCTGAGTAATACAGGCCAGTGTCAAGGAGGCCCCTGCCTCTTCCCAGTACCAGGGAAAAGCACTTTCCAGGCTCCAAAAGGGAAGCACAAGAATCCTAGGTTCTGCCATTGGTGGAAATATTTTTAGGGAGTTCCTGCGGAGATACACAGTTTTAGAAAATGGTAATTACAGAAATCAGTTAAGAACAGAAATTCTACCTCATTTACATGTGGCTAAAAATAGATGAGGAATTTTGGCCATTTTAATCTCTTAAATATATTACTTCTTTTGATGCCTTGTCTTTTAAAGAAAGGAAATTGACATTTATGGAAAGCCTATCGTAGGCCAGACATTCTCTAGCTCTCATTTAGTCCACATAACAACCCTTAATTTATATTTTATTATCCCCATTTTACAGATGGCACTGTAGAGACTGTAATTATATGGTTATGCCTAAGGCCACAGGGCAAAGGACATATCTGGGACTCATATGCAGTCTGTGTTACTTCAAAGACCTGTCATTCTACACAATCCATACTATTCTTTCATTTTCAGAATGTCATTCCATGACTGTAGATAAATCTCTTAACTACTCTGACCCATTTCCTCCCCTGTGAAAGAAGAGGTTGGCATAGCTCAGCACTAGGATATGTGCTTGTTCTAATACTCTGAGAGTCTTGAAGAATTTGAATTCAGGGCAAGAGAAGACCTGATGGTATTTCCTATAAGGAAATATTAATTTTAAAAGATAGAAAAAATAGAGAGAGAGAGCAATAAGAGGAGGGAGGTATTGGCCTAAGTAAATACGGGTGAGATTCATGCAGATTCTGAAAGCTTAACAACTAGAGGCAAGTTTGCAGTTTTAGGATGCATGAGGAACTGAATTCCCATTCAAGTTGTCTTAGACATCCCAACAAAAAAGATGGGAAATGCCTGGATTTAAAAGTGTATGATTTCTGAACGGCTGATTCCAGCTCTTGAGTTTCTATACTGCGCCAGGTAATCAAAAAGAGAGTTGTTTGCACTGAGGTCCATCCTTTTGAAGAGCGTGATTCTGTTTACTGATAGTTCCAGAAACCCTCATCACTTAAAGAATTTAAATTACTAGTGTGCTCTTCCCTTCTGTTTTACATCCCTTTCCTCCCTCTTCCTTTATACACAGTAGACAAGATGACTTTTCATATAATTTAGTACCTAAATTTAGTGATCTAAAGTTGTGACAGGTGCTATTACTTATATGATTGACTATGTTCTCAATGTTCCCCTCCCTCTCCTTCCCTTCCCTCCTTTCTCCCTCCATCCCTCCCCCCTCCCTCCTTCCTCCCTTCCTTCCTCCCTTCCTCCCTCCCTTCCTTCCCTCCTTTTTTACGGAGCACTGTTTTACTTTAAGGAGTTACTGTGTTCTCATTTGTAGCTTTTACAAACAGTATCATATTTTAAAGAATTCAGTGGGTGCAAATTTCATTAAAAATTCTCTGTATTTCTGTGGAGTGAAGTCAGCCTAACTCTTTTAAAACTCTCTGACGGATCAAGTATTTTAAGCAAGTGTCCCTTTCTTGGCAGCTTCAATACAATGAAATCTTCTGGAACAGATTTCTGTGCATTTCTGGATACTAGGTGAGGAATGAGAAACATGGGCTAGCTGGTAAAAACCCAAGACTGAAGTAGCCCTTCAATCATATTGAAAAAAATATGTATTTAAAAAATGGAGATGCGTGTAATTTTCTGACTTGATTGAACTACAAACTCTCAGCAAGAGCTTGATTTCCAGCCATTATCCAGACCAAAGAGGTTTGGATGAGCTCCTGTTAAGTATGCAATTCTAAGCGCTCTGCATTCTGCTCATCAACAGTAAAGGCATGTTACAGATGACACGAGGAGGAGCTTTTGTGTCCTCTAATTTCCACTGTCTGCGCCATTAGCAAGCATTGCACAGTATTCTAGCACATAATGCCAGCGTGGCGCCCTTTCCCAGAGCAGCTATTTGGCTATTCCCCTTTGGTTACTTCTCTGGGCTGGGAACACAAAAGGATGGCAAATCTAGGATAACAAATCCCACTGCATAATAGCATCAGGGATACAGAGTGGTGGTGAAGTTATTAAGCCACATGGAGCCCCAGTTTTTCTTTCTTTAAAATGGGGGTAATGTGTACTATTCAAGTGTGGTAAAAATAGGTGACATATATGTATGTATATAGTGTCTCACAAAATGCTGAGCTAGAAAGCACAATAAAGCACCCCTGGCATCTGGTGGTTGTTGGTATTGTCTAATGAATGCAACAAGCACATATTGAGGGCCTGCTTCATGCCCATGCCTTGCCAGGCTCTGAGATGACAGACGGAGGGCTCTTGTCCAGGCAGAGACCCCTCCCCCAGCCTGTGCTCTTCTCAGGAAAATGTGCCCGGAGCCCCTCGCCAACCCCCAGTCTGGTTAGGCCTCCATCGTGCGCTGCTTTCTCATCCAGCTCACCAGGCCTGTGACTCATGCAATTTCAGGTGTGGAAGGAACCTTTGCCAACAAAATGAAAGAGGAGTTCTAACTTCTTTGTTTCCCAGTATCTGAACCTAGATGGTCATGAGAACTCGGATGCATGCTTTTTTCCCCACAGTGCCTCAAAATGCATAGACTTCTTAGTTCAGGCCTAAAGGTGATTTGCTCTTTATGAATATAATAGACAAGGTGTCAGTGCTCAATCTGAACATATCTTAAAATTGTAGATATGATGCCTTTTTATGAAAAGGTTTTAGGAAGCTGCAACTGTCTGACACGTGCAGGTGGTTTAAGTATGTGTGTGTGTGTGTGTGTGTATATGTGAGTGTAGCATGAATTATGCATGCTCTTTTAGAAAAATTATAAAATTGAGAAATACCGAAGGAAATAAAAATGTAACTTACCCCAAATCCTACTATCCAGAGTCTGTTTCATTTTTAATCTTCTAGACTCTTTTGGTTGTTCATATATGTGCATCTAAATTAAAAATGTAGACATCCTGTAATAAAATAGGCTATATTTTACATGCTGATTTTATTCTACTCAATAATATTATAATTCTCTTTGCATGTCTATAAATATATTTATATCTCCATTCCAAATGACTATAAATCTCATAATTTGTTTAATCAATTTTCTATTAGCAGACAGTTTGTTTTAATTTTTTACTCATAAATGTGATCTGAATATCTCCGGCTTTACTAGCCAGTGAGTACAAATGTAGTCTCAGTAACATTAACTTCCCAAATTAATGTAACTCTAGGGCTCCAACTCTATGGTTTTCAAAGTCTTCCTCCTTAAATATTGTACTTCTCAGAGTCTACAGGAGCGCTTACCTGTGTCAGTGGGTCATTCCTGGCTACTGCTTGCCTCCATGGCCCGCAGACTCATTCTATGCCTGACAGTTCCACAGGGATATGCTTTGGGCTGGAACTTCGCTTCTGTTGTTGTACCAACTCATCACCATGTTCTGAGAATCTGTTATTTCAACCAAAATACCATCAGTGTACTTCAAAATTGACTTTATTGTTCTACCACCCCTGAAAGTGAAAAGGAATGGATATATTCGCTATGCTCAGCTAGGGTCCCGTAGCAAGGCTGCTCAAAGCCCAATTGTCCAGTGTGAGTGACACACTCTATGGTTCTTGCGTAGCTTTTGTCTCTGAGTGCCCACCTGTCCTCCCTAGTAGAGGGAGGGTGACCAACCATTCCAGTTTGCAGGGACATTCCTGATTTTAGCAGTGCAAGTCCCATGTCCCAGGAAACTCCTTAGTCCCCTGCAAACCAGAATGGTCAGTCACTAGCAGAGGGAATGGTTCAAGTACTGGCATCGGCCAACATGCTGTGTTTACCACCACTGTTTCCTTCCAAGACTAGGCCCTGTGGCTAACCTGGCTTGCTTTTTCCTCTATGATAAAATTCATCTTAGGATACCCCCAATCTAGTTTCCACTGGGGCCACATTCACCAGACATACCTGATATATCTCAACCTCAAAAAAATGGCAGTGTTTCAATTATTTTATCCTCAAGAAGCTTTTCAGCTCCTCACATAGCCTTGTGCTCAGCCTCTTAAACCAGTGGATGCAAACTCACATGTAGTGGGAGAGATGTTGCCTGACCCCACTCTGTAGAAAGTCTGGAATCCCAGTGCTTTCACATAAACAACACTCTGATGAACATGTTGTACTTAGAGCACTGTGTATAAGTCTGATTGTTCCTTTGAGACAAATTCCCCAAAATATAATTACCTTTTGGTTTTTGATACATATTGCCGGAGTGCCCTCCAGGAAGTCTGTTCCAATGTACTTTTTTCGGTTTATTTTTTAAATAAACTTCTTTTTGGTTTATTTTTTGGATTATTTTTTAAACCACACAAATTTTTATCCAGGATGAAAAGAAGCTCTGACCTGTTTCTAGGATAACAGAGAATTCCATGCCAGAAAGTCCTCGCCAGAGGGGAAAGGGAGAGGATATGAGAGGAGGGCCGGAGAAAAAGAGTTCCAGAGTTGCCTGAAGGAACATGAAGCTTTAATACGCCCCTTCCACCCAGTGCTTTGTGGTTATTGTGCAGCACCTTCTCCTAGAGTACTTGTGCAGTCCCTCTAGCACAGTGTTTTCTCTTTCACTCAGGTCCAAATTCCTGCAAGCTGTCCGGGCAGACCCCAACCAGGGAATCTGCACTTGGAAGGAAAGTAGAGGCTGGGAAAATTCCAATATGACTTATCCTCTTTTCTTGTTTGATTCCCACAGAATCTATGGCTGTTGGCCCTCAGGAAATAAAAATAATGAGAAACCCAAACCTAGGTCACCATTAGCAAAATGAAGCAGTTGTCTAGTTAGCTGGAGGGTAGTCGGGGTGGGAGATTTCTGCTTTGGACAAAGTTTTGGAAACAGTGTTGGCCACTGATCAGGGTAACTGACAGGGCTCTGTGTATCATGCAACCCCTGGTCACCAGGTCTCTGGGTTGCCTGGGCCCAGTCCCCTAATGAAGGGTTGGCTTGGTAGCTCCCAGAATCAGGCAGGGAAAGCGAAACCTGGGAGCATGGAGCAGATCAAGTGATTTTTACCCCATCAGGTATACTCAATCCATACACCAGGATGAAAAACACAGGAGATGAGTGCCAAGGGCATGTCCATTTCTATACTGTTCCCAGTCCAAGTGAAGAAAATGTAGAGCATTCCAAATAAAGAGGATGCCATGCTTGCAAGAACAATTTGCAATTCTTCTCACTTCTCACGCAAAAGTTACTGGCAATGATCTGCTCTTCAATGGGCAGTATGGAAGGCAAACTAGTATTACCATTAGATCTGATTTAAATGCTAAGTGCACTAACCAGACACATATTTACATCATTAACCATCCAAACTAACACAAATAAAAGACCCAATTCCCTCAGCACTCCTGCGAAGTCTGGAGCAAGTAGATGGTCCTGATCTTAGCCCTAACTGACCAAGGGTTTCCAACTAGGAAGAGGCTTCCAGAATGTTCCCACTGTGCTCTGAGCTGCCTGGACTTGAATGAAATACAAGGAACCAAAAAAATCACTGCACTGAAGGTCATGCTGAGACAATGTTTTTATTTGGGTGCTTAACTCTCCTATGTCCCCTAGGGAGAAAATTCCAGTAGAACATACAGGAAACGTGGTTTCTAGCCCCAGTATGTCAATTGTCTGGTTGTGTAACCGTGAGCAAGTGGCTTCTCCTTTCTGAGCATCAGTTTTCTGGCCTTTAAAATTAGTAGTTTGAACTAAATTGTCTCCCAAAATCTTTTATTAGCTAATATTATTAGCACAATAACTCTCACCAAATATACAGCCTGCCTCTCTTTTGAGTTTGGGAAAAGTTCAGTTTAAAACCGTCAACTGAATTTCTGCAGCCATTTGGAAAGTAACATGTTGAAATCCAGATTCGCCTTTTTTGCCCTCATTGCTTTGCTACTGTTGCCCTGAGTGGCCTTGGGCAATGGCAATTTTCTAAGACCCTTGGGCATGCACAGAACTACCCCTGGCCATAGTAATGGCCAGAGAAAGGGCGATCTTACTCTTTTTGTGCCATTGTTTGGGTTTCCTTGGCTTCTTGGAAGGCCAATTAAATGCCCCTTTACCACCTTCACTATTATACTCCTTCTATATCTTATGCTTTTCTGAAGTAGCTGTTATGCTCTCATCTAGACTGCAGACTCTAGACAGACTGATACTTACTCAGCCTTCTCCAAGCTCCAACCAAATGAACATCCAAATTGAAAACGCTGTTGTCAACCAATCTGTTTATCTATTGGGAATGGGTGGTTAGGGAAGGAATAGGCAAGAAGAAATAGAGGCAGAAGGTGGAGGTCCTGCTAACAGTGTGTTAAGGCTATAGAGGGACTTGAGTGGACTCCCAGTTGTTTCTTGGAAAGGTCCTTTGACCCTATGGCTGTCTCCTCTTCTACTACCCTAAGAGTTTCCCAAGGACCTACTGTAAAAAGCAGTCTTGAGCACTCTGTTTGTCTCCCTCTTTGTGTATTCTCCAGGGGGAATGGGCTGCTCAAAAGGCTTCCATTAGTGCTTATTCATGGACAACTCTCCTTGAAGCCCCACCTCTCTCTGTCTTTCCCAGGCTTGTCCTCCTTGTTGTCGGCTGGAAGACTGCATGGCCAAATGATGAGCTCGAAATAGTGCACACGCAGCGGGCAAGTCACTTAAATTCTCTGGGCCTCAGATTGCTCACCTACAAGATGGGAGCAACGGTGCCTATCTTGTGCACTTGTTGTAAACTTTAAATGCTATAATGTGTATAAAATCAATGCTTGGCACAGAGTAAAAGCTGAATAAAAGGTAGTTACCTAGAAAGTTTAATAAATTTGGTTGATGCTGTTGGTGGCATAACATGTGGTAGGGAAAAGTTCATTTTTATGTATTTTTCAGGTTTCAGATTTCATTGTAACACAAATGTAATTTCAGTGAAAGCAACAGGATGAGAATGTACAAAGCCTTTCCAATGGCCGCTACCAACCCTGGGATTTAACAACATTAAGAGGGCTATTTAGACGGTTTAAGGCTACATATTTACAGATGGGATTTTATGGATGAAAGCCCATTTGTAACCCTAAGGTGTTTAAACAACCCTGCAATTTGATCTCAGATTCCCCCAGCAGTATCTTAACTCCTCCAGTCTTCTGTCTGCCAATCCAAGCCCTACTTCCAGCACCACCTGTCAGTTGCTGTAATGGCTGGGGCTTTGTGAGGCTCCCAACTATAACCTGATTTCCACCACTGTTCAAGGGATGCTGCAGCTGCCACAAAATGTGTAAGTTTTACAGTGTTGTACAGTGGCTGGGGCAATTTCACGCCTCTGAAAAGTTTCCATTCATTCATTTACTCACTCACCAAAACATGTTGAGTGCACTTACTATGGGGCAGGCCCCACGCTAACTATGCACTGGGAATAGAAAGGGAGTAAACCAGGGCCTCTGTTTTCCAGGCTCGTGGATTAGCAGCAGCTGTAGACAGACAAAGATATATTAACAACATAGCATCATGGTACAAGGAGAGGAGTGGACACACACCTGAAAGTAATTAACCGTCCAAGGTGGAGGGAGGGAGGAAGGGATAACTTCCAACAGGAGTGACATCCGAGTGAGCTGTTCAACATTTCTCTTGGCTGTCCTATCAAATCCATTCCTAGTTCCCATGTCATTGTCAAGTAAGTTCCCAGTTTCTTATTCACCTCATCTTTGTACCCATGTCTCCCACCCCAGCACACACCGAGAGGCACCCTAAGCCCAACCTTAAATCCTGCCATTTCTTCTTCTGTCTGCCTTCTCCTCCCCACATCTTTGGTCCAAGCCATAATGGCTGCATACCTGGACTCCTGCCTCCCAATTAGCTCCCCTTCCTCCGGCCTGTGTGGGTCCCCTGTTGTCTACTGGACACATATCATCGAGAATCACGTTCCTCCAGAGTCACTTGGATCACATTGCTCCCGTCTTCACACACCTGTAAAGACTCCCAGCTGCTTCCCAAATTATATGAAAACTCCTCTAGCCTCAGACTTCAAAGCCCAGTACCAATTAGCCCTGTTTTACCTAACTGCCGTCCATTCCTGCTAAGCTCAGTTTGGCGCACTTCGCTCCAGCAAGGCAAAGCTCTTCCACCTGCTTCTTTCCCCCTGTGCTGCCATCCTTAAGCATGAGGCACCCTGAGATTACCCTGTGTGCGCACACTTGCAGGTATGTGTGTGCGTGTTGGGGGACGGGGCAGTTTGCAAGGGGAGGGAGGAAGAGAGAAGGGAAGTCCCCACTCCCTTCATATTCTGTTCTACGGGAAAGCTTTAAAACATGACCACCAAGGGTAGAGATGAAAGAAATACCCAGGAGGAAGTGGTGTGAACCTCTGTCCGACAAGGAGGAGCTGCTGGCAGTGCTCTGATGCTGGCTGTGGGCAGCTGACAGGGTAGACAAGCCAACACCAGGGCCTCTGCTAATCGCAGTGCACA